ATGTTGAACAACTGGAAAAACTGAAGGATGCAATTGAAGATAAGCGGCCGGCATTATCAAATGGGAAGGGTGTTGTTTTCCATCATGATAACGCAAGGCCCCACACATCTTTGGTTACTCGGCAAAAATTATTGGAACTGGGTTGGGATGTTTTGTCACACCCACCATATAGCCCTGACCTTGCGCCTTCGGATTACCATTTGTTTCGTTCCATGCAAAACTCTTTAAATGGTAAAGTTTTTAACAACGTGGATGATGTCGGGTCACACCTAGCCAGACATTTTACGAACGGGGAATTTTCACTCTGCCAGAATTCAGTTTTTTTAATAGCAAAGACCAGACATTTTACGAACAGTATTTTACGAACGGGGAATTTTTACTCTGCCAGAAGGATGGTCGAACGGAAAATATTTACTCTGCCAGAAGGATGGAAAAAGTCGAACGGGGAAGTTTTACTCTGCCAGAACGATGGGAAAAGGTCGATCGAAAGAACGGCCACTCCGGCTTCTTATTTGAAATCGGCAATGACTTAGTTGCCAACCTAATAGATCGTTGTAAAGAACTAATTTCTAGAGGCACTAGGCTTTGTTGTTAGCATATTCACATTATTCCCATGTAGGTGAGATAAAATTCACACCACGTGAACAGCAGCAATTTTCAAGTTTCTTTGTGTGGCAGATAAATAACTACAAAACCCTTTATTTCAAGGTGAAATTCATTTTTTTCCATTTTTTTAATATTCAAGATGGAAGCAGTCTTAAAAAACGCCGATCAGCAACATGAATATGCATCTCTTGAAGAAATAGGCAAAACAGCGGAAAATCGGTCGTTATGGCTTCTCAAGGTAGTAAACGATCTACACCATTAATTGTCAATGAAATTATTCATTAGCCCATAAATATTACCTAAAATCTAACCCCATTTTCCCTGCATTGATGTACTTACGCATTTAGATATCACAAGATCCAACTCTACCGATCATTTGGATAGATGCTGGAATACATGCTAGGGAGTGGATTTCTTCGGCCACTGCTTTCTATACAATTGATAAGGTAAAACTAACTAAACCCCTTTCAAATATAGTATCTACAAAATAGTGGCAGTTCTCATTATATACTCTCACCAAACCGTATAATTGAAATTTGGAAATGGTAATATCGAGAACATGTGGACCATAACGAACACATTTCCGATTTTAAGTTTAATCACAGTAAGGGGTTATAAAATGTGGTAAACATCGTAAAAAAGACTCCTTAGTTTTGCAACTCTAAAATCGGTTGTTTAAGCTGGTTAAAACAGAGGTCACTACCTATTTTCCCCCATTAAAATCGAGCTCCACACCTCAAGTGAGTTTGAGAGAAAGCAGTGAAGTAAGAACCTTCTAACTCCGTGCGAATGTTCGCAGAAAATAGAGAGGTGCTTTAGACTTTTAACAGATGGCTGTTCCTGATGACTAATGATAAAAAAATCCCTCCGGAGACAAGGATTGATAAAGTTCTGCATATCACATTGTCTTAGACAACTGTCGAATCGAATTTATTCAAAAGTAGTCTCAAAGAGTCCTTGAAAAAGCTAAAAGTAAAATAAGTAAAATCTCCAAAAATCCCGTCTCTCCCCCCCCCTCCCCTTCTTTCCCTTTCTTTCGATTGGTTTGATAAGTATAAATTGAAAATTATCTCTTGACTAATCAGTATTATATAAAAAACTGAAGAAAAATTTTGTTATAATGAGGATCTGCATTCGCTTTCTCAGTTAATGCAATTAACGAAAGGGGTTAAGTGTGCTTACCAAGATTTGTTCTTTGCTTTCGCATTTCAGCTCCTTTCCAAAGATGGCAAGCATTTACTAGGAATGTATCAATTCTATATTGCGCCTAATGTCAACCCTGATGGCTATGTATACAGTTATACTAGGGTAAGGCAACTTAAACACAAAGGTAAATAATATTCAACAGTAGAACTAATTTTGGCACATCGACTTATTATTAAGGATCGATTATGGAGGAAGAATCGCAGCAAGAATGACCGGGACAACTGTCCAGGTACTGACATCAACCGAAACTTTCCGTATAAATGGGGTAAATCGAAATTGATACTTGTTGATTTTGGATCATTTTCAAATATATATTAACTGCAAATTCTAAAGCAGTAAGACCTACATATGGCCTATTACTAAAATATCCAATTCATTCCGAATTCCAGGCAGATGTACTCTGTTTTAAATTGACATGATTAAATTGATTGGTTGATGTGATCCTTTCTCAAGACGCCTCAGTTCAGACCGATGTTAACATTTCAAAACCAATTAGACAATGGAATGAAACTGAGAAACCATTAAGGATCTTTTCAGGTACAGTTTAAAAGATTATTCTTGCTTCTTCTGATAAACTCGACCCTTTTACTACAATAGTCTTCTCGGTATTAGACTAGCAAATTGTACAAATATAAAATCCAAATGCTTCGATAAAAATTCGGTAAATGAAATACCAGAAAACTAGTTCTTTAGAAGATGGCTTGCTTGCCACTAAAATAGCCTAATCACTATCATAGAGCTACTTAATGAACCATATCAAATTAGACTTGATTTATTTGCGGGTGTGGTCATGCCGCCACAGTGATGTATCGAAATACTTATTTCCATTTAAGGTCTAAAAGGAGCAGCAGACGATGAGTGCACTGGAAGCTACCGAGGCAAAAGTGCCGCCGATCAACTCGAGACTCAACATTTAATTAAGAAGCTCACATCGGTCGCAAATCACACTAAGCTCTTCTTAACACTCCACGCTTATGGTCAGATGATTTTAATGCCCTATGGCTACGAGAGTGGTGCTAGACCAACTAACTTTGAAGAACTGGTACGTTTTACTTACTCACACCTTGTCACATTTGCCCTTTGTGAAGTCTTTCACAAGTTATAGGCGTGGTGGTTGTAATATGTGTGGAATAAAACTGAGCCAACTGGGGCTGATAAAATCAATTGGTGAGAAAATGCCTAGTAATTTGAGTCGTTAATGTGCTAATAACCGGGACTCCTAAGATAAAAGGAAAGCATGTGAAAAAACACAATTGGCCAAGTGAGTGATGTAGTAGCCTTAGTACGGAAGTAGAATTACACACATTAAGAAGTGGTGTATTTCTGGATTTAAACAGAAGGTCGCCGATGGTGACATAGTCAGGCCAGGATTATCAAAGGTAACTGAAAAAGAGAGACTTAAATAGATCGGTAAGTGAGTTGGTAGATGCAAAATAAAGTCGACATGTTTTAGCCTAATGCCAGGGAAGGAACATTGATGTTAATACGAAAACCGTAGCGATAAGTTGTATCTGAGTAGGCACCGACTGGAAGACTATACACGATTATTATATCCTTCGTCATTTTTTGAGCTATTTTGATCCATAATATGGGAAGTTAAAGAGCCAAGGAAGTTTCGAATTCAAAATATGATCGGAAGCAGAAATGAGTAGATTAAAATATAATTGATATCAAATGGTAGGCTTTGTGTTGATTAGCATTAGCCCTTTAGTTGACTTCGAGATTCACAGAGGGGAGGGACGTCAAAGGCACAAAAGTCTAGAGGGGAGGGGGGGGGACAGAAGCTTGATTCACAGACGTAAAAGGGGGAGAGACACATGGGTAGGGAAAAAGGTAAGGTAAGGTGGGTACTGCGAAAGTGGCAGAATATGACTACAGTCGGGTCATGATAGTTTGAAGCCAGAAGTCAACTACCAGTTAATAGGCCTTTTGCTGTATGAGTATAGGTTGACCAGGTTGCACCACGTGGAGGTAAGTCTATCCCTCACCCCATGGATGAAAATATAGGTAAAGACGTGCTACTATACATACTTACGGTTGAATAAATTGTTGCGATTTGGCAGCTCTTGTCGAAATAAATATTCATGAATGATAGAATTATAGAAAGGAAAAAATGAGGAGAATAAGCGTCTTTTGGGTTGTGGAAGACAGGAAAGGATGCCAAGAAATAGCGCGATCAAAATGGATAAAAACGAGAATATTTGATCATTAGCCGCCTAATTTACCAATCAATCGCAAGCTCCTTATTGTTCCACCCAATTTGTCGACAAAGCCTATCTTTATGGGCCGGCGAGATTTCTTCGATTTGTTCACTTTCAGTCCATACACTTGGTGGTTTGTACCACATTCAAATTAAGCTTTCCATTGCCAGCCTTACTTTCTAACCATATTTAGCAGATTGTGACGATTTAATAGCAATTTTTGAGCCCTCTAACAGTCTTCTCCTTATTCCGTCTCGTATTTTGGGCATTCGAAAGCAAAAGAAATATTTCAAAAAATCCTATATATTTTGTCAATACGACAGTTGAATTTAAAGAGGTAAAATATATCCCATTTTAGAAACGAATTGCACTCAAGCTTGTATTCAAACTCTGGGGGAAGCATAACACTATTTATTCAACAGGAGCGCCAACTGATCTCCTTTGTAAGTTTTGTATTTATGCGTTGACGTTTAAAATAAGTGGAAAAACAAGATTTACTTTGAAGATTGAAATGAGGAATGGGAGGAAGGGGGAGGGGGCTGTTCAAGTTTGAACACAGAGGTAAGACAGGATGTCGAGAATCTCCATTAATTGAAGAGTTATGTGCTTTTTTCGTGACTGACACTTATCGATTTGTTAACTCGAAACTCAGAGTTTCCAGATCCGATTTTTTAAATTTTACTTCTCAGTTAATGTGCGTGATATTCAGTTGACCGAATAGATGGTCATATCCAATTGAGTTATTTGGGTCGTATTGTGCCTATGAGAAGGTAGACAAAACCGCTGACGGTATTTCCAATGCAGCAGAACTCACTATAATTCACTTTAGGTGAGCCCACAAGAACTGAAAATACGAAGCTGCATATACCCTCCTAACCGTTTTCCAGTGCTCATATTGGAACATATTGATGGACTGGAGCCTACCAGGACGGAAACTCAAATTCGATCACTTTCTTTATTAACCAGTTCAAATTAGCCTGCTTTATCTCCGTTAAGGCGGTATATTTGATTTTTATGGTTATCCATGAAGTAGAATATCGATAGGGTTGTAGGCAAGTCTTGCTTAAATGGCTGAGGCACTAAAATTAATTCTAGTTTGGTCAGAACCACTCCATATCGACTTGTCCTCTTTCGCCTATCGCTGATGTAGTCACTCGTCATTGATTGGTCGGTTTACTCGAAGTCCAGGTCATGTATGGAGGGGGGGGGGGATTTTCGATCAATTTCTCTGAAAACACATAGGTTAACTTGGTCAGGCCAATAAGCCTCTACCAGTAGACAGTCAGAGCTTTGTGTTCCATGGCAGAACTCTTCACATTTCACCAATTACTGACTGCCATTGCAACTTGGTTCGTCCCTCGTCTAACTGCCACCTCAACTGTTTTTCTCCATCAAACTCATAAGTGTCGCCTCAAACTCCAAATAAAGAGTGGAACTAATGAACATTTTTAAGTTTTAACATTCAAAAAGCACGAACTAGGATGCCAGAACCATACAGTTGTACTAATATAGTACATTCTTTCACTGTTATTCAAAACAATTGTACATGTGATGTCAGTTAAAAATAAACATTCTCATTCCAGTGTTTGGGCCATACAACTTTTTTAATTAACGCTCATTTCATCGGCAGTCTTGAATATTTCCAATTTTAAATAATTGAATTTTAATCCTTAAAAGTTCTCCTAATGCTATTGGTGTCTTGTATTTCCTTATTGTTAATAATAGATCCTGCGTCTGGAGGCTCATTTGATTTCACTTGTGGAACACTGAAAATTCCCTACTCCTTCGCAATTGAGCTTCCAGACACAGGAACCTATGGATTCCTACTTCCGCCTTCCTTCATCGGTCAAATTGGCGAACAAATGTGGGATGCTCTTCAAGTCTTCGTTGAAGAAATGAAGTAGAGTATGTGGGGTAGGATTTGGCGCTAAATATAACAAAAATGATTATTTCGTGAAGTAAATGTGAAAATTTGTTTCTGCAATATTTTCTTCAATACACACTTGATTAAAAAAGAACGGGTGAAGCTCCACTTTCTCATGTTTTTTTGAGACCTATCAAATGCAAATTTACATATCAAGTATTCTTATTTACTCCACTCCACTCTAATTAGGTATGAATATCAGCATTGACACTTTGCAATTAAGTAATGACTTCAAATTAAAGATGAAATATTTTAAAAATTTTTGATAATACATAAATACTGACAAATAGACTCTATAGCATTCTTTTGAAGGCACGTGTTCTTGGAAGAATGGTCTAAATAATACTTTTATGAAGAAAATTAAAAAATTGGGCAAATAATAGGGAATGGAGGACCAATGAACACAAGGATCACAAAGCGTTGGCGGAAAAGGGACACAATGATCACATCTGACTAAGTGGCTTTCCCAACGGTCCGCGCTCTTCCTCCATCTTACCCAACTGCTGACGTCCGCTCATTTAAGCTAACAAGATATCGATCCTACTTCTTATTTTTCAGTAGCAATTCTCCTGTGGCGAACCAAAATGCGAAACCAGTCGACGTCACTCCGTATACCAACATTTACCACCACACCGCC